AAGGCGGCGTGGCCGGCTCAATGCTCCGCTTACCGATTGAACCTCGTGACCGCGGCGCGGCTGGATAATATGGGTGACTATGGATGATACGTCCCGCTACATATATCCAACTTACAGTACCACCTTTCCCCATCCACATCTTTCCTTCCCTCTTCCTATGAAACACATTTCTCTACTAACTGGTCTCCTCGCCTTCTTCTCGTCCGCGAGGGGCACCGTCTTCCAAATCCCCCCTGGCATCCAAAATGGGAGCAGCATCGCGCAGTTCACCTCCTCCGCCGTCGGGCTCGACGCGCCAAAAGTCTCACCCATCAACGCCTCGTCTTTCGACTGGTGGTACTTCGACGTCGTTTCCAACGAACCCGCCAGCGACCTCGCTTCCGTCGTGATAATCTTCCTCACCAGCGCGCAGTCCGCGTTCCTGACCCTCTCCGGAGTCTCCGCCCCAGATTCCGTCCTGAGCGTCATCATCTGGGTGACGTTTCCTAACGGCACACTCTGGTCCGGCACCGCCAACGGGGAACAGAACGCGACGGTCACTTCGGACGGGGACAATACCACCGGCATTTGGCACGGGACCGGGTTCAGCTGGGTGGGCGGCGAGGCGGGGTAGTTGGTTACTATCGATGCGCCGGAGGTGGGCGTGACAGGAACGATTACATTCCCGGCGGTGCGTCTTCTCTCCATCTCCACGGCGGTCTTGAATATAATATAATTTGAATAACTCTCTCTCTGAAACGACAGGTCGCCCCAGCGCACTACCCCTGCGGCCCCGCCGTCGCCGGCCAAAACATGGAAATCGGCCCACAAATCGGGTGGGCGAACGCTGTCCCGGACGCCGCCTCCGTCGTCGACCTCTCCATCTACGGCGTTAATCTCGCCTTCGAGGGGGTTGGCTACCACGACAAGGTGTGTTTAACGCAGTGCCAATTACCTGCCACGTTTTAATGAACCCCCTTGTAATCTACGCAACGTAGAACTGGTCTCCTGCCCCCATCCTCACCTCCCTCGCCTCATGGTACTGTACCATTTCGAAGGTGACGGTGACAGGGCGCTGTGAACTGAACCTGTTGGGTATTGGTGGCGGTGACGGCCGGTTTTTGTGGCCCAAATAGGCCTAAAAATGTGAAAAATTATCCTCCTGCAGTTGCCGGATTACCATAAATGGCAATTTTACCGTGATTGCCGAGGAATGAACATCGAAGAAAATGAACATGTGCGGTGACGGGTGACATACCGTGAACCTACCGTCACACCGGATAAGGAAAAATATTGGCTCTGGTGTCATATGTGGAACCAAAAAAAATTATTCAAAAATTATTCAAAAAGTCCCTAGGCCGGTTGGAGTATCTAGGGGAGAACAATGTTATAAGTTCTTGTAGTCTACTTGGAAAGTTTACTGCTTATTTTTTGTCGATCGCGTGATCTATTTTTCTTCGCGTACGTTCGAACCCGACAGCGTCGCTATATGCTTTCTCTTTTTGCAATTTTGTTTCTCGCTCTCTCACATCTCAATGGACCTCAGCATTCCGCATTTTGTCTTCATTTTTGTTTTGCCATTGACATACATTTTTCTTCCCGGATTTAACCCTGTACTCCACTCACAGTACCTAAACATGTAAAATTTCTCTTGCACAATTCCTTAGACTGGTATCTCTGCAGACACCCCTTCCCATGCTTTATCTGAAGCTAGACAAAGGAACCAAATCAATTCCTCGTAAATTCCCAACTCAATGCAAGATGTGGATCAGATTATGTTGTGCTCACAGTGTTCTGTAAGTCCTCACATGAATTTGGTTTCTGTTTCACTAAATTTGGCTCATTTGGCCTGCCTGCGGCGCTCCCAAACTCGTTCAAGGACCTGATTAAATTCACCCATGCCCTTATGAGCCAGAGTCAGTGCAAAATACTTTTTATTTTTATTTAATTTCCTCTGGTTCTGGGGGCTATTTTGGCCATTTTTTTAGGCCTGCGGCGCAATGGTTTACATATAGTCTCAAGTTGGACTATACAAAGTCCCCCGGCGTGGCAGACCAGTGCAAAACTTGAGAAACAAGGCAGAATAGGGGCCTGGGAATGAGCCAGGCCTAATTCGGCCTGGCAGGCCAAATGCGGCCTGGCCAGGCCCGATTAGGCCTGGATCAGTTCCATATATGACACCAGAGCCAAAATATTCACCTAGATGAAAAGGCTCGCCGGACCAATCGGAAAAATCTCGGAGCCTTTCTGGGAGCCTTTTCATCTAGGTGAATATTTTTCCTTATCCGGTGTGCGTCGAAATGGTACAGTAGGGGCCACGGCCGCATCGGCCCCTATTCTCTCGTGTGGTTCGACCTCCTCGACACCTCGGGCATCGAGCATGTCTCCGCCTTCCTCTCCGAGAACGGGGTGATCCTCAGCATGAGCTGCACTCCGGGATCCATTACGGTCAGGCCGACAGGACCGGGCGGGGCGAATGCCACCTACCCGCCAGTGATAAGCACACCTGATCCGGAGGGGTACCGGATTGTGCTGGCGCTGCCGCCTGTCGCTAGAGTGCTGGAGGGCGCGGGGGAAGACCCAGGGACGCTCGAAATGGACGTCTCCGTCCGCCTCCAAACTTTCGAAGCTAACCCCGAGTACGCAAGATTCATAGGGAACCTAAGCACAAGCACGGGCTTGACTGGCGTGGCACTGTTTGAGCAGTTTAAAGTCACTGCATGAGTGTGTAGGTGGGAAGGTGGTGTCGTATCTTATCCGGCCATTAACTGGATATAAAAGAGAATCTTTGGCGCTTTAATTCAATATTGGTGTGTTCAGCTGGAAATCAGAATGGCCAGATGCTGTTGTAGTTTTTGTAATTCTGGCCAGAGGCCCAGACCGCGAAGATGAAGTAACAGATCCAACCGGGATGGTATAGAGCGAGCAGAACAAACGAAGTTCCTGAAACTATTCAAATTTAGATGTGAATGGTGAAATATTCGAGTTCATACAAAGCGAACTTACCAGCCACGTCTGTCCACTTTCGCGCCACATATTTTGCAAGTAGAACAGGCACGGGAACCTTTCCGAACACACCCGAACGATGCGGGCCGATTAGTAACATCTTTAACGTGAAATCTTGCAAGCGATGTCACATTGTTTGGTTGTGAGTCGCGTGGGATGATTGCATACTTTACTGGCTTGGATAGGGCGAAGACTCACTATCAGTTAGTGGGCATCATCTTGCTTTCATCCCCGATTTCTTTTCTCCCTCATTCTCGTTTCCTACCATGCAAAGCCCCATCTTGACGATTCCTGCCGAGCTAACCGCCCGGATCTTCGAAGACATGCGCTTAGATGTCCTCAGGACCGACTATCGCATCCGCCCCTCCATTACCACACCCCCTCTCGTCTTGATCCGAGTTTGCAAGGATTGGAGAGCAATTGCGCTGGGCACGGGGTCCTTGTGGAGCTGCATCGACTTGCACATTGAGGACCCATCGATGGAAACCAGAGACAAACTGCATCGCGTTTTGGCGACGTGGTCTGAACGTGCGCGCGGCCACCCGCTTTCTTGGACGCTGCAGGGATTTGTAACTCTGCCTCCGATGTTCCCTGTGGTGGTTTCACAGCTCCATCGGCTCGAGCTGACTCTATTAATGCCGAACCCGTTGCTACTCGGTGCGATCGCGACCGGCTTTCCGCAACTACGGGATTTGGCATGCCATGTGTTGGATGTCGAGGATATGCCGGCGACCATCGCGCCAATTCTTGAATCTGGGCCAAAACTCGAGGCGATATCACTCTCCTTCTCCGCCCCGGCCAATTTCACCGGCGCTACAACACCCAGGTTGACGATTTTTAAAGTCAAAGAGATTACGGTCTCCGCGCTCCGCGCGTTGTTCCAGAACTGTCCCATGCTCGCACACTTGCATATCACCAACATCCTCCGCGAAACTCCTTCTCCGCTGGCCACACCTATGACTGCACCAAATCTCCAAACAGTCGTTATCCCTTGGGATACCACCGTGACAGTAGCAGACGAAACGGTCATGCAACTCGCCCACTTCTCATTTCCGAGTTTAAAATGCTTGCGACTCCCATACACCCCACATCTACACGTCGTCTCCGAGTTGTTCCGCCGCTCTGCCTGTGCGATAGACACACTCTCCGTCAACATTTCAAGTGTAGGAGACGTCCTCGAGTTGCAGACAATGTATAGCCGGATGCCGTCTATCACAACATTGGAGATTCGGCGCTGGGAAGACGGCGAGAATCCAACAGTGACGCCGCTTCCAGAAGCAGTATTTGACCTTTCAGTACCTGGCGTGCTACCCAGACTCCGAAACCTCACTATTCACACCGGCGGCAGTAGCAATGACAGCCCGTATAATGTACCTTATACCGGCGTTATTTTGCTTCTCGATGCACGGAGCGCCCCGAACAGCGCCTTCCATTCATTCCATCTGGACGTCGAGCCTACCTCATCTTATTTTCAAGAAAGCTATACACCCCCTGCAAACTTCTTGTCGCAAATTGAGACCTTGGCGCAACAAACGGAGATTCACATCATCAATGGGGAAGATCGTTGGTTGGGTGGTATGTCTGTTCGTTCAGTATCTAAGGTAACCGCTGACGCAGTGCTGCAGGCATCAAGGTTGAAGCTCCAGATGATCTGGAGTGGCGCGAAAAATGGTTGAATCCGTATTGGTATTGGATCCCGTAATCTTGCGCAAGTTTCTTGCCGTAAATAAATTTTGTACAGACGACGAAGTGTAGCCCGGAAAATCGAAACGCTATTTGCTATTTTCACGGGTTTGTCTCCATGGTCGGCTTCCGCAGGGTAGGTAGGTAGGTAGGTAGCATTACACGGCACGGTCCAACTCATGAACGCCGGTTTCCAGGAATTTTCCCGATGTATACGCACTACTACATCATCGTCCCTGGGCCCTCGTGTATCCCAATAGCCGAGCTCACGGTCGCAATCTTGACGAATCGCCGCGGTAGAACTAAAAGAACACAGAGAAAAATACATCATTGCCCCAGGCGAGGACTCGAACCTCGGTCTCCCGCTGTATCATAGAATAAAAGGCAGGCATCGTAACCACTAGACCACTCGGGACATCTATACAAAGCAAAATACAAGACTGGTACAGACTACACTTCATTAGTGGATCTACTCGTCGTCCTCTGTTGGGAAACGAATGGGCCTGACAATCCTGTGCGCAAACCTGGCAGCATCTGGGAAAACCTGAGATGTGTGTTGCATTTTTCGAGTGACGTCACCACCGGATGCCCACCTCCCGGTTCCGTCGGATTGACCGTTTACTAGTGACTCCGCAGAGCGATTTGCCTATATCTTGCGAGCTTTCCGAATGACTTGACTTATGATATTTGTTGGCGTGCGGAGATACATACGCTGAATGTGTGCTGGAAGTAGAACTGCAGGATATATTAACGGACCAGATCTAAATTGAGATCTAATTGACAGCCGTAAGTTCGAGTTTTGCCGCGCCACGCCACGGCCTTCACCCCAAGTCACCGTGATAGAAGAGAATAGCGAAGGCGATGATGTGAGATCACGTCCGTCTCCACGACACTTACCTGATACAATGCATCGAAGGCTTACCCCGTGGAAGAACGCAATTGGCTTCTGGGTACTTCCTACAACACAGATTTTCAATGTCTTCAGTAAGCCGTTCAATGAATGTATCCCTCGAGGACAGGTTTCATTCGTTGATACTCAGAGCGTCGATGCTTGATGAAGCGAAAAGGTGGTTCGAATCTGCCACTGTCATGTGCCGATTTGTTCCCAGAGGGAAGGAGCGCGCGGACAAGGTATCCTCTCACACAGTTATTAGCGCTTATTGATAGACTCCATGAGATCTCGGAAACATACATGCGTCTGCTCGCCCGATATAATCCAGATTGAACCTTCACTCACCCCGCCTCCGCCGTTGCGTCGTCCAATCAGTTCAAACTTATTTCTTGCCACTAGTTGTATCAGTGTGTTGTTTCGATAGCGCCGATAGTCTTTGTATCTTGCATCCTTTCTGCTTGCTTTCCCACTGAATCCAAAATTTTCAATGGTGGACTACCAATTCTGAAAAACAAGGAAAGAAGTATATATGGTGGTTATATTGCGCATAACTCCACTCTCATTCCACAATCCCCCACTCGCGACAGTCGCTACTAGAACATTTCAATAAGTAAAGCCGCCAAGAACCGGTTCTGCTTCGCAATCTTCTTAGGGAATATCTTGTCCGATTCCTTCGAATACTCCCGCAAGGCGTTGGCCGACGAGTGCTTCTTCACGGGCTGGCCCGTTTTCTTAGCATCGATCAGGTCGTAAATGTTGACCCAGACTTTGGTGCGCAACACCTGTTCAATGATTAGCCTGAGGTTTACTCTCAGATACCCGTTGCACTCACCTCCTTGCATTTCTTGATGGAATCGGGGACGTTTTTGACCCGGACAAAAGCACACATCGCCTGCCATCCGGCCAGCCGACTGTCATCATGCCCGAACTGGTAGGAGAACTCCTTCAGAGCGCACTGCTCCCATTCCCTCTTGTACTTTGCGCGGCCTACACGCCATCCGCAATATGCCGCCAACCGATTGAACTCCTGCCGCAGCGGTGCTGTTCCATCGTGCGAGAAGTCGGGGTATGCGTTCCAATATGTGGACATTTCAAACGACGAGAAGACGATGTTGCAGGGAAGGACTCGGAGGCAAATGGTCGTTCTGAGAAAGAGTGATGAGTCCGACCTCCTTGTACGCACGCCCTCCACACGAGGCCTTTGTTTGTGATCAAAAGTAGATGCGGCATTTCTATTTATTTTCAAACTCCGTCCTCTCGGATCGGAGAAGCTCTGTACGGCACGTCCTCCCGGCCCGGCTCCTCACTCTATCTTGGCATTCCGAATTCGGGACGCGCTGCCGCTTCGATCGGCATTTTTGATAAAGAGTAAGGGATTGCGCAACGACGTCGTTGAGGGCATTGAGGGCACAAAATTAGGAGGCTGGCGAGAGGGCCCTCTGATCGCATTCCCGTTCCTGAAAACGAGGCGGCCCAATTGCTGTTGTCAGTTGCCAAGGATTCTTGGTTTCCGTGACCTGGAAGTGGTGTGCACATCAAGAAATACTCACTGACCATCCGAGGTATGGAAAAATTTGGAGCATTGAGTTCTGGGGATTTCGGGCATGATTTAGATTTATGTTTTTCTCTGGTCCTTAGCCCACACAATCGTATACGGAGCTAATTGCCTTAAATCCAATACTTAGAAAACTTATGGTGTGATAAGCCCGTTCGCATGTTTGACGTGGACAGGGACGGTCGAAGGAGCCCCCCGTCACTCATAATTTACGCTTTATCGACGCCTAGAACCCGGAGGATATTATCCAAAGAGGATATATCCAAAGGCATTCCGAGATGGTGCGTGAATAGTAGGAAATTAGCGGTCAGATGTGAATCCGAACCTCGGAGCCGCCTACAAGTTCATAGAATAAATATGTCTAAGGAGACGAGAGCGAGGGTGCGAAGAAGATCAAACAAGACGATAACTCCAAGCATGGGTTGGCGCGATCCGCCGCTTGATCAACCAGGATCTCGGGAAGAAGGAAACGCGCCAAATCAAAGAATAGATAAGTTCATGCAAACTGCGATCATGCCAGGGTTGTACAAAGAGAGCACCGGCCCAGAGTTCCTTGCATCACTATTACCCAGCCAAACTTTGGGTGCAGTTTTGAGATAGAGAGAGGATTCGCTGGATTCGGGGGGGAAGGCATGGACCCCGGGTGCCATTAGAATGAGCTCGCTGGCCTACTCGGAGGGTTGCCCCCACCAGTACAGTGAACGAACTTTTCGTTAAGAGCGGATACGGATAGCGATACAATTCAAAGCCACAACATAAATATAAGATCCCAAAGTAAATGCAACTTCATGAAAGTCCCGAGGTTTTCGTCTGATGTGACTGCGGCGGCGGCGATGTCCGGAAAGCAGATATAGGGCTGATATCGGGTGGGGACTTCTTGAATCGATACGACTTTGAGCGCAATAAATTTCGCTGAACGAGGGCAAGGAAAAAGCGAGATGGTGGCGTGAGTACATCAGCCAATTAACAATTTGATTGCGGCTTGTTTGGCCTTGTGAGCTTGTCGCCAAGCCCACAAGGTCCAAGGGCCAAAAATTACCCCTCCCAAAATGCAGAACATGACGAGATAGGGTCTCAAACACCTGGAGGATGTATGTAGAATGCCCTATGCAAATTTTCAGAACTGTCCTGTACCAATCAAATTTACGCCACCCAAAGGAGTCGAACTGTCGACCTTGTCAGAAAAAAAGATAGCCTTGTGACCTTGCCAACTTGCGACCTTTTTGGCCTTTTTTGTATGGCACTTATACTGTGCAAAAATTATTAGAGGTCATGCTGGGAGTGGAGACAGGTTTTTTGAATACATCTTTGAAATGGAAGCAGGGTTTTTGCTTGCATCTCTCAAAATGGTGACATCTTTCAACTTAGTTACATCCATCGTAGAGGTTCACGAAGCACCCAGCTCCAGTTGACTGCTTCGAGTGCATTTGAATTTTTTGACTCGAAACCATCCCGAGGATAGCGCAACTGATAGTGTTGATCGGAACGGTGATCCGAATACTCCGCCGGGATCCGAAAAAGGATATTGTGTGGTCTTCGCACCTCAGAGAGCAGGAAGCATAAGCAAGCTCAAAAAAAAAAAATGTAAAGTATATTACAGCCCTTTGCGGAACATAGGGCGCGGCCGTTTTTTTTCCCATTTTGGGACATTTTTGATCTTTTAGACCATTTCCCTCGCTGCGGGCTCAATTATGAATATATCTCTTTGAAAACTATATAGTCGGAACCGCACTGGAATTCCGCATTTCTTCTCGAGCCCCGTTTATTTTTATTCAACCTGTATAAAATGTAATATAATATTATTACCTTTTCAAGCAGATCTCCTCCTACAAGGGGGGATGTGGATATAATGCTCCAATGCTTCATTAAGGTACACATAGGTCTATTTATGAGGTCGCCTCGTCGCCATATTTGCTTTATGAACCCTCTACTACGTGAACAATGCAGTTGAAAGTAAAAATATTAGTGTCTGTAAAAATCCGATGTTTCTGGATGATCTATCTACCAATGAGTCAGAGGTTCGTTTTGGGCACACTCTGAGCTAGTTATAAGAGAACCTACGACTCAGATTCCCGCTTCATGTCCTCGCGCTAGTACGCGATGCACCTCAATTTGCCATCAGTCACAGAAATAACTGCACATGGCTGTGACAGATGACAACTTGAAGCGCGTCGCATACTAGCGGGAAGACATGTAGCGAGGATCTGAGTCGCGCAATCTCTTTTAAGAACCTCCTAGTGGGCCCAGAACAAATCTTATGGCTACTGGTGGAGAGAGCATCCAGAAACATTGGATTCATATGGACACTAATATTTTCACTTTCAACTGCATTGTTCACGTAGTAGAGGGTGCAAAAAGCAAATATGGCGACGAGGCGACCTCATAAATAGACCTATGTGTACCTTAATGAAGGACTGGAGCATTATATCCACATCCCCCCTTGTAGGAGGAGATCTGCTTGAAAAGGTAATAATATTATATCACATCTTATACAGGTTGAATAAAAATAAACGGGGCTCGAGAAGAAATGCGGAATTCCAGTGCGGTTCCGACTGGGTGACTTCCCGTAAGCATTAAATATTCCCCAGGAATTTTTTTCGTACTTGCCGACGTGATGCGGCGTCAACTGCCAGGACCCCATCAATTGCATCACCCCAAAGCGATTGCGATTTATTCTCCCATCAGTCGAAATATGCTGAATCTATTCGGGGGGTACCCCCCCCTTGAATAGACTTTCGTATCCTGGAATATCCCGTTTAGGCACCAAATCGCTGATTGTCACGTCCTGTCATCCCCGTCACAAACTCTACGTCCCCACTTGCAAGCGCACCGTTCATATACAACGGATCTTTCAATGTTCTAACTCTACCCTAAGTACCTTGCATTAATCCCTGCCCAAACCCCGGTTGTTCTCGCCTTTTCCCCCTTTGAAATTGATGCCAAATCATTTTTTTAGAATGCTCTCTTG